CATACAGCAGGCATCTGATCTGTGAGTTGTGTAGGGTGAGGCCAAACCTGTCACACCCAACCCAGCCTTCTCCTTATCCAGTCCTATGCAAAGCATGCTGGGAACTAGAAATTCACTGCTTAATTTTTTAAGTTATCAAGACAATATGTGACCCTGGAGCACAAAAGCAGTGTTAAGTCGCTGGGGTATATTTGTAGCAATAGCCAACAATACATTGTATGGGTCAAAATTATTGATTTTTCTTTTATGCCAAAAATCATTAGGATATTAAGAAAAGATCATGTTCCATGAAGATATTTTGTAAATTTCTAAGAACTTCATTTGGACAACTTTAAAGATGATTTTCTCAGTATTTAGATTTTTTTGCACCCTCAGATTCCAGATTTTCAAATAGTTGTATCTCAGCCAAATATTGTCCGATCCTAACAAACCATACATCAATGGAAAGCTTATTTATTCAGCTTTCAGATGATGCATAAATCTCAATTTCAATAAATTGACCCTTACGACTGGTTTTGTGGTCCAAAGTCACATATCATTAAGTTAATACAACTTATTTTTTTAAATCAATTTGAAATATTAATAAATATTAAGATAATGTAATAAGATAAGCAATTATTCATTAATCGTCACTATGCCAACAGAGCTTATCAACATAACATACTAGTGATCATGATAAATTATTACTTTGACTGGGGGGCATTTCATCTTAAATACTTGATTTGTGTACTCTGTCCACCACTGCATATAATTAATAACTAATAAACAACAGCATCACTATGCAGGGCATTGCACACAGCTGTGACTGACATGAGGCACTTGAAGGTAATGGGCTCCTTTTCAGAGCCATAATAGCCCTCCATAACTTCTTCACTGTATCCTCAACAAAGAAAGATGATGCTACAGGCGACCATCACACATGATTTAAAGCTATAGCTCGTTTCAACTCACCTGACAAAACCCTGGAGATAAACCTGACATGCATCGGGGAAAGCAAGTGATCAAATCCGGGGAGAATGTCTCTCTCTCTTCGCCTATAATCTTCCTCTCTCGCGTGAGAGCCTTTACTGGCGCGTCATCTGAAGGCGACGCACATCTTCAGAACGCGGTCGACGCCCGAGTGTTTGCAGTGATTGAAAAGCGCTTCATGTTAATGTATGATATAAAAGCAGGCGGGTTCCCGGATGTTGTGGAAACCCAAGGCCTGGTTGTTGTGCTGCGCGCGTGTGTGTATAACATCTTTCAGTGTGTCTGCATGAGCAGAAGCCATGTTTGGCTCATCGAGATCTGGAGGGGGGGTCAGGACCAGTTCAACTGGGACGATGTGAAGGGGGATAAACACAGAGAGAGAACTATTTAGGTGAGTATGGCGCTAGCAGCTCTAACTAGCCGCGGCTAGCAACCCAGTCTACACGAATACTGTGTAAAACGATTCCCAAATATGCGATTATATTCATACAAGCACACTTATTTTGCACTGTACACACTTTAATTAATTCATAATCGCCGATTAGAGCGCATGCAACTGGTTTGTGCCAACAGGCTTGCTAAAGCTATTCAGAACGCTAATAGCGAGTAGTTGTGTAGCTTGATGGCATTTCTGTAAAGATATTACTCATCCATGATGCCAGATTGTCTTCTGGGCTAAACATGCCTCTTTGCTGAATAAAGTTTGTAGCGTAAATGCAGACATTCCTACCTTTTTCCTTGGTGTGATCTCTCATCGCATCGTCTGCTTGGTTTATGTGTCGGACACAGCTGTGGCTCTTGTGTGGACGTGTTGAACTTTCTACTAGTTAAGGTACCCAGAGAGACATGAGACGCGGTCGCACTTTACAAATCCTACTACGGCGGAGACTGAGCTTCTGAATATTAATAAGGTCTTGCAGGCGTTGCCTGGTAACCTGCTTGGAGCGGCCCGCAGGAGTCTCACTAGTGCGCATGCGCATTGCTGAAGCGCAGGCCAGGGCTATGAATATTTAATATGACGTGCTGACGTCAGCGAGGCCTACTGGGTAAACGTGACGCAACCTGTTTAATATTCATAAGAAAATATCGTCATAGTAGGAGTCCTAATTTGATGTACCATTTTTTATGACCTTTCTGACTTTACATAGTTGCCTGCTTATCTTTTCTCTGTCAGTCAGGAGGTCAGCACGAGCTGGGCACATTGATTCAGAGCTGCCATGCAGCAGGTTGTTCAAGAAAACTAAAACTACAATTCGAACTATGAGCTATTTTTTGTTGCTGAAGATAAAATAAACGTTAACTGAAATAAAATCTAAAAACATTTTTATTTCCACTAGGTGCCAAGGCAACATTTCTCATTTTTATTTCGTTGAACTTTAGTCATTAGTCAACTTGATGTGATAAAATAAGTAAAACTGAAATATAAATGAATAAAAACTATATAGACATATATAAAAAAAACACCAAAAATGACTAAAATGGAAAATAACTGATTCAAAATATTTATAAAAACGAGTAGTTTTGATCAAATTAAATATTTTTAATATAAATTAATAAAAACTAGTAGGTTTTAATATAGTTAATATAATTATTTTCTTGACAGTTAAGCAACATTTCCACTGAAGTCTAATTACTATAATGCAAATAAATAATAATAATTCTATTATTCTATTCCAAATATTCTATTCTAAATTCTAAAAAAATAAATAAAATAAAAAGAATCCTCACTACAGGCATTCATCGTTTTTTCTTTATTTAAAACTGATGTAAATTAAATGCAGTACAACCAATATTGCAATTATGTAAAAATACAATGTAAATAATTAAATATTTCTGACAGTCTAATCTGTGATGATATATAATATGTTTCAACATCGTAGTACCGAGAATGAGATTAATGTGCTTTACAGTGAGGAATTTTTGTCATGAAAATCATGTGACAATGCAAAAATCCTAATGGTCCTGAAGATCATATATTTCTTTGTCCTTAAGCTAAATATAAATATGATGAAATATGACTTGTGTTAGATTTACCCAAGGTCCTGTGTTGATTTATTATGTTCTTTTTTCCTCAGGGAATTCCCTCATGGGGCCGGTGGCAGAAAGGGAAGGATGTGTCGTGGTACGCCAAAGATAAGAAGAGCGGCGCGTCTCTGTCTGAAGAGCAGGAGATGGCAGCGGTACGAGAGGCGGAGCACGAGGCCATGTCAGCAGCGCTGTGAGTGGGATTGATTCATCAGGCAAGTGCGGAAGAAAATGAGCTCACATCTAAAATGTTATGTATTTTCGTCTATTTTAGGGGTCATAAAACAATCAAGAGACAACCAACTTGGCCTTACCAAAGAGGTTTGCATTTGTAAGCATCCAAACGAGAACATTTCAGGGATTTGTAGCATTTCTCGTAGCTGTTTCTGACGCATATGTCATTGCTGCAGCATCGTGTGCCGGAGGGAAGGGGACGCGGTGGTCCGGGTCTCTGGGCGCCGAAGCTCCAGGTAAAGCCAGTGCTGTATGTGTACAGGCTTCATGACAAGTTTGCTTGATCCAGACCTCTCTTTACCTGTTAAAGATACTGTAAAGTACGGGTAATTGTATGGTGGAGTGTGGAATACTTAGTTAAACTTTATCACAATGTCAAACATCGCAATTTCAGATTCAGTCCCGCTTTTTAATATGGTTTTCACTTGCGAAACTTTGCACTGCGTACATTGCTGCATGAAAAATAAAACTTAGATTTGGATTATGGATGGGTTATGCAATTTAATTGGCATTTACGTTGGAATAACAGGATTTTATTGAATTTCAAACATAGGTGATGCATTGTGGGAAATGTTCTTCCACCCTTGTCCACAAATGAATGCTCCATCTATCTATCTAACCTTCTGTAAGGCCTATAAACCTTTGAACGTTAACAGCTTTTAAAAAAAAAAAACTTTTAAACAGAAAACGTAATGCAAATAAATATAATTCTCATTACAGGAATGCATTAGTTTTTTTTTCTTCTTTAATTAAAACTGACATAAATGCATTACAGCCAATATTACAATAATGTGAAAATACAATTGAGGTAATTTAATAATTATAACGCTCTAATCTTTGATAATATAATATTAAATGTCAACATTATAGTGCATATTTATGTGCTTTAAAAAGTGCAGAAAAATGTGCAATTGCGTAATTGCCCGCACAACAAAAGGTAAAAGCAAAAAAGGACTTGGTACACTTGGTACTGAATGAATATAAAACCGTGCCACTTGCCAAGATTGAACAATATACCTCGAGTACACAAGGTCTGACAATATTGTTAATAAATATTTGAATGAGCACGTCTATTATTATATTCCGAGGCCACAAGAGAAATGCAAAAACTTTTGAAATGCATATTGATGTTAGACGAAATAAAATCACTACAGTTTGAGAAACGGCACTAGTTTGTAACTAGCTCTTCTAGTATTATACGTTACTTTCATTAATAAAAAGAATCTAATAGATGTGAGATTCTGGTGTTTTTCATCATCAGGGCTGGACGGAGAGGAATGGTGCTGAAAAACAAGAAAAAGAAGCAGTAAAGATGGGCTTGCCAGTTTTGACGGTACATAGACATAAATACTTAGTTTTGATACTAATTTGAATATGAGAATGTGTCATGGTTTCAATATCTCAACAATATGTGACCCTGGAGCACAAAACCAGTCATAAGGGTCAATTTTTGGAAATTGAGGTTTATACTGAATAAATGAAGCTGAATAAATAAGCTTTGCATTGATGTACGGTTTGTTAGGATAGGACAATATTTGGCTGAGATACAACTATTTGAATATCAACAATTCTGTGTTTTTCTGTCAATATGGGGTGCTGTGTGTACATTAATGAGGAAAAAAAAATAACTTAAATGATTTTAGCAAATGGCTGCAATATAACAAAGAGTGAAAAATTTAAGGGGGTCTGAATACTTTCCGTACCCACTGTATATGTGTTTGTGCGGTTCGTTTATGTGGAAGATTTTTAAACACAGAAAAGAAGAAACATGAGAATTCATGACTACAAAAAAGGACACTACTGACAAAGACCACGGTATCTGAGTTGAGTACTGATATTAATTACAGATCTGACGGAAAGAAGAAGAGTAAAAAGGAAAAGAAAAGCGAAAACGAAGCACAGAAGCAGAAGTGACTCTTCAGATTTCGACTCTGAAAGCTTCAGTAAAAGGTCAACTGTCTATAAGTAAACTAAAGCAAATACCTTTATTACTTTTGGTTGTAGCTTGTTTATAAATTGTGAACCTACAGAAGTAGTTTTCCTTCTCGGAGGATCACAAGAGGGCGTTGTAACACAATTCTATTGGTTTTAGTTCATCACATCTTTTAGTTTAGAGTTTCCTCTTAGAGAGTTTTTTGACAACAGTGGTAGAACTATGGTTGGTTTGAAGAAAATGATCACAATGTGGCTTTATTCAAAAATGCTGTTTTCTAAAGTATTATTTCTTTCTTTACACTCCAAAGCAATTTGCAAGTAAGACTAATATATAAGCACAGGGGCCAGTTGCATAAACTTAGCGTCTATGTTAAGACCGTGTCTTAAGAACCAGTTTGAACAACTAGCAATTAACCAAGGGGTATTCAGTCTTATATTTTGGATTCAGCTTAGACTAATCAGCATTTTTATATAACCGAATTAAACATTTTTTGACGAGTCTTGAAGAACAAAATTAGACGACTAACTTTTAAGATTAGTCTAAATCTTTTATGCAACCAGCCCCACAGATTTTTAGTTACAATCTTAGTAGTGTATTTTACTACTACTTTTTGATTATTTCTAGACTTTTTACCCAAATCGTTTTATCACAGATTTGAATGGGATTAGTTTGTTCCATGTTGATATATATATATATATATATATATATAAAGAACAAATAGAAAGAAAATGTATTCCATTCTTTATCAACATCATAAAGTGCATTTAACGTTACGTGATGCCAGGGTTTTACTTGGCTGGGGTTAATGGAAGAATCGCAGGCAGTTTGTAAGTTGATGAAAAGCTAATAAATAATAAAAATAATAATTAAAATAAATTTATTTGAATATTTAAACAATCAAAATAAAACACGTGAATGCTAAAAATAGAAGGTTTATTTGCTTACCTACATCATGTCAGTGTGAAAATCAGAGAACAGTAAACGTGAATGTGTTGTTAAAATATTGAAGTATTAACTTAAAGGGTTAGTTCACCCAAAAATGAAAATTAGCCCATAAATTACTCACCCTCAAGCCATCCTAGGTGTATATGACTTTCTTCTTTCAGACGAATCCAGTCGGAGTTATATTAAAAATTGTCTTTGATCTCACTCAGCGGGTGTTGCATGCATCAGTCCAAAAGAAGTGAAATAAAAAGCGCCCATCCATAATAAAAAGTGTCTCACACGGCTCCGGGGGGTGAACAAAGGCCTCCTGTAGCGAATCGATGGGTTTTTGCAAGAAAAATATCCATATTTAAAACATAATAATCACTTTAATGTAGCTTGCGCTCACTGTTGTACACAGTACAAAATAATAAAAAAATTTTTTTAAATTAAAACCGGATCAAGAAAATAAAATTTGGTTGGCCAGACAAGGCCTGTAATTGAAACTGAGTCAAAATGGTAAAATTGTCAACTAAGTTACCTGTAAATCCATAGTTTATCTGTAACATAGTTGACAAACTCACTAGCAAAAACATCTTTTTCTTTGTTATATCAAAATGGTGATTAATGATTAATTTCGGCAACCAACAGATAAAATATATCAACTGAAACCAGTAGTTGATTTATTGAGAGAGCATTTTCTTGACACTTTTTCCTGATGTGAAATGTGCCCTAACTTATAGACTGACTCTTATATTCACATTATGCCTCAGTGACAGAAGACGAGGACAGGCTCTTCCTCATAGTCCATGTCTGGCGTATGGTTTCCCCTCAAACGGAACCAAACTTCCCATGCTCACCAGGAATAAATGATTGTCTTGGTGTTTTGTGCTCCCCAGGCGTAGAAAGGATCCCCGGGACCACCATGGTCCTAATCCATCAAGGAGCAGTCAGAGTGGAGCCGGAGCCTGTGACAGCCATTCAGGATGGGGGCTAAAGGCCGAGCACAGGACCCTGACCCCCCCTCACCAGCACCGCCGGCACGTCACGGACTCGTCCTCTGATGGACACCGCGCTGGTCGAGGCTCCCCGGCACAAAGCTACCGGCGGCGCCATGATAGCAGCTCAGACGACTGATGCCCCGCTATCCACACCTCCTCACCCTGAGAACGGATCCAGTCGCCTCTTTGTCAGACTCTGGGCAACTTAGGCCACAAGACATGGCAGAAGTGTGTGTGTGTGTGTGTGTGTGTGTGTGTGGCAGACTGATAAGGATTTCTGTGTGCATTACACTTATCCTGTAAGTGTAGAGTAAAACACTGTCGGATTTGGTGCGTACAGCACTCATTCTGGACACAAAGTGCGACTGCATTTCCTTTAGTAACTGTACTTACTAAACGGATAGTTCCGGTCCTTGATTCTGATTGGTTGAGCCACGTTCGAAGCCGTTGTAAATTACTCTACAAACACACACCTTTATTTACGTTTGTGTTTTGCTCGGCAACCACTTTGTTGCAGCCACAACTGATATTGTTTGGTGGAAGAATACTGTTTTTATTTATATCATATATTTTGTGAAACCGTACTACGTATATGTACCTAACAACGCCACTTAGCTGTTCTAAATTCACTGTAAACCACGGCTTCACGGGGTTTATTGCTTTATTTTAAGGTTGATTCTCAGGAAATCTGTCCAAAATATGTCCACATTTCATCAAATTTTGGCTCAAGAAAATGAATTTTGATTTAGGATATTAAAATTGATCATCAACATTTTTTAATAAAAATGAGTAATACGCAATTTGTTGTACTGAATTTATGCAAATAAAAAAAAAATATATATATTTTTTTTTAGTATAGCAGTCAGAAAAAGATAGAATGAAAATTTGAAACGACAAAAAAATCAAAAGAAAAAAATTTGTCATGAAAATAATATCACAATGCAAACATTTTTAGTAATCTTAAATATAGGCTTTGAAATTGAATTATTTTTTGATTTTGAGGTGAAATGTAACCTGGACATGTTTTAGTCTTTGATGTATAAAGAGAAAACAGCAGAGGTGAACACGTTTTATTCTTGTATATGTTTAGTGAAATAAACCGTTTTTTTTTTACAGCAGTGTCGTTGAATCATCAATTCACCTCAACACTTCAAACTTTTGAAAACGGGTTTCAAAGTGTGACTTTTTGAAAACGATAGTTATATCTGTGTAAACTGAAAATGCAAATGTTCTGTGAAACTGAAAACATTGATGTTATGCACATGCGTATTATATGTTTGCGTTGTGATTCTTTACAAAGAGACATCGCCACCTACTGGTCTGGAGTGCATAATACAGCGTTTTTAGTAGTTGTCTTAGATCTGTGTGAACAGGGATCATTTTGACCACGTTGTCTGCACACGAAAAACACAAATGAAAACTTTTCACAGTCTATCATTGTAGCAGACTAATAAGAATTTCTGAGTACATTACATTGAACCTGTAAATGCAGAGTAAAAACTTACCGGCCAGACTAATTGGTGTGTACAAATCTCAGGAAATCTGTCCAAATCATGTCTTCGGTGACATTTCATCAAATTTGGCTAAAGAAAATGAAGCTTGTTTTAGGCTATTAGTCATTTCCCCCTAAAATACTCAAATAAAGTGATTAATATGCTGTTTGTTGCACAACTGTGTTTGAATATGTGCTAATTCTGATTTTACAGAAATCAGAATCACAGGAAAATTTGGAATTACAAGAATTCAAAGTAATGTATTAAAATTAGGAAAATGGTTCTAGGCTTTGAAATCTAATTTCTTAAGTTTTTTGGGATGTTGAGGTGAAATGTAACCTGGTCTTCCATGCATAAAGAGAAAATGACCATTTTTTTATTCTTGTACATATTTAATTAAATTAACCGTGTTTTTACAACGTGGCGTTGTCGAATCATCAGTGCACCTCAACATCTCACATGGGTTTCATAGTGCACATTTTTGAAAACAATACAATTATCATCTGTGTAAACTATGATGAAAATGTGAATTTGTGAAAATGAAGTCATGCATAATGCCTTTTCCTTTAGTAACTGTTCTTTTTAGTGTTAAATCTCAGTTAAACTGTCAAAAACATGTCTTGGGTCACAATCCATCAAATTTTGGTTAAAAAACTGAAGCTTGTTTTAGGCTATTGATTATAATTAATTGACCTTTTCTGATTTTTTGACATCACTTTCCCCCAAATACTCAAATAAAATGAATGCTGTTTGAATTTGTGCCAATTCTTTTAAAACACTTTCTTTTGTTACAGAAATCAGAATCGCAGAGGAAAATTCGGAATGACAAAAAAGGTATTATGTAGCAGTGTTATGTAGTTTTGCTGTAAAATTTGACATGAAAGTAATATTGCAATGCAAAAACTGTCTATAGTCCTATTTATAGGCTTTAAAATAAAATGTCTTTTTTCTTTTGGGTTGATTGAAGGTGAAATGTACCCTAGACAGGTCTTCGAGGCATGAAGAGAGAAAACAGTGTATATGAGCTGATTATAGCAGACACCATCACTTTTTAGTCAAATAAACCGTGTTTTTACAATCGACTCACTAATACACCTCGACCCTTCAGAT